AACGGACGGTGCTGGCACTAATTGCGCCCCGCAAGAGATGGGAGTTGCCCCCAATCCCATATCGCCCCGTCCCAGCCACAGGACCTCTGTCTTCGAAGGATTTAGCTTCAACCGGCTCCCACGAAACCATCCAGCCACAGCTTCCAAACATCTAGTCAGTGTGTCTGGGGCCGAGTCAGGATGGCCATCCATCAACAGATAGAGTTGGGTGTCATCGGCATACTGATGGCAACCCAGCCCAAAACTCCGAACAAGCTGGGCGAGGGCGCATAAAGATGTTGAAAAGCATCGGGGAGAGTATCGCACCCTGAGGTACTCCACACACCAAGGAGTGGCGCGATGACAATTCCCCCCCAAGCGCCACCCTCTGTCCCCGACCAGAGAGAAACGAGCGCAGCCATTGAAGGACTGTGCCCTGGATCCCCACGTCGGCAAGGCGGTGGTCTAGAAGTTCGTGATCGACCATGTCGAAAGCTGCTGACAGATCTAGAAGAATCAGCAGCCCCGACCCGCCTCGATCCAGCTGTCTACGAAGATCATCTGTTAGGGCAACCAGAGCCGTCTCGGTCCCATGACCAGTGCGGAAGCCGGACTGGAATGGATCCAGAGCCGATGTTTCATCCAGAAAACCACCAAGCTGTTCAGCAACCGCTCTCTCAATCACCTTACCCAGGAACGGAAGATTCGAAACCGGGCGGTAATTGGATAGATCTAAAGGATCTAATGATGTTTTCTTTAAGAGCGGGCGCACCACTGCCTCCTTCAGTTCCCCTGGGAATGTCCCCGTGCCAAGGGACAAATTGATGATATCCCCAGGAGGGCCCGCACCTCGTCTGGACACGCTCTAATCAGCCAAGACGGGCACGGGTCGAGAGGACAGGTGGTGGGCTTTCCAGCTCGGAGGAGTCTGTCCACATCGGCTGGGGATATCCGGTCGAAGTGGTCCAATACTGGACCCGAGGACAGTCGAGGGGCCTCCAGTTCCTTTATTGTATCCAAATTGGCCGGGAGGTCATGGCGGAGCAACAAGACCTTCTCCGCAAAAAAGCTCGCAAATGCCTCACAGCTGTGTGTCAAATTGTTATTTAAATTTGGCTGTCCCTCAAGGGACGTTAAAGACCTGATTATACTAAATAATTGCGCCGGGCGAGAGCTAGCGGATGCAATGGAGGCCGAGAAGTATGACTTCTTAGCAGCCTTCACCGCCATCTCGTAGGTTTTCATAAAAGCCCTATAAGATGTTCTTGAGGCTCCGTCACGGGCACCCCGCCATACTCGCTCTAGCCGTCTGAGGTCCCGCTTCATTTTCCGGAGCTCCTCGGTAAACCAGGGAGCCCGGTTTCTGCGGGGTCGCAGAGGGCGCTTAGGTGCGATCTCATCGATGGCTGCCAGGAGCTGGGTATTCCAGCCCTCAACAAGCTCAGTCAATGAGTCGCCAGGGGAGCAAGGTCCCGCAAGGCTTGGCGGAATCTATCAGGGTCCATCAGCCTCTGCGGGCGAGCCCAAATCGGCTCGCCACCTAAGCAGGGTGGGGGTGGAAAGTCAATCCTGGCTTTCAGAGCGTAGTGATCAGACCATGGCACCTTCATCGAAGGAGACATGATCACATCTATACCTACGCCAAAGATCAAATCCAGCGTGTGGCCTGCTTGATGTGTGGGGCCCGAAACAAACTGGGAGAGCCCTAGTGTCGCCATGGAAGACACCAGGTCCAGAGCCTGTGAGGAGGGAGTGGCATCAGCATGGATGTTAAAGTCCCCCAATACCAATAGGTTAGGGAACTCCAAGGCCCAGCCGGCCACCGCCTCCAATAGGCCTGACAGGGTGGCTGCTGGTGCGCTAGGTGGCCGGTACACCAGCCAGACAGCCAAGCTCTCCTCGGAGCCCCACACTAGGCCAACACATTCAATGCCGGGGATCGATGGCGATGGTAGAGCCCTGAAAGGACAATCTTCCCGGATTAATAATGCCACCCCCCCCCCCGGCCCACAGTCCGCGACTGGTGGAGGACGGAGAAACCTGGGGCGCCATCTCTCGTAAGGTAACTGTTGCCCCTTCGCGCACCCAGGTCTCCGTCACACAAGCCAGGTCGACCCCCTGCGAGATAAAGAAATCTCGCAGGGTGGCGGTTTTATTGCCTATAGACCTGGCATTGCACAGCACCAGTGACGGAGGTGAGTAATCCTTGCTCACCCTACCCTCGTCCCTTGGGATGGGGCGCAGATTGGAAGGGGTACGAGCGTATCCATATCTCGATCCCCTTCGCCTATAACATCTGCCCCCACCGCCATACCTCCCTCGCCCCTCCACGGTAGCAATCCCAGGCCTCATGGTAGCCTCCATTGATGGCTATTCTTTCGCAGCCTAAAACAATAAAACCTTAAAACAATAAAAACAAAAAACAAAACAACCCAGAAAACAATAAAACAATACAAATAAAAACTGCAAAAATTACAAATTCATCAAAATCTAACAAATTCCCAAGCCCACCCAAACATCCATCCCACCCCCATATATAAAAATCTAAAGGGAAAGGAAAATATTTAATAATAATAATAATAAACATGTTAAAAGAACTCTGCACCCTCCGGGTCCTCCTGGGCAGTAGCAGCATCAGTGGCAACAACCATACTTGTGAAGCCCCACCCTGGGCCAGATAGTAAGTGGCAGGAGCAGTCCTTGTGAGGCCTGCCAGGCCCCGCCCCAGGCCAGGTGGTAAGTGGCAAGAAGGAGCAGGGCCCTCAGGCACTCACCACAGGGGAGTCTTCCTGGGCAGCAGAGCAGTCCTTGTGAGGCTTCAGGCCCCGCCCCAGGCCAGATGGGAAGTGGCAAGAAGGAGCAGGGCCCTCAGGCACTCACCACAGGGGAGTCTTCCTGGGCAGCAGAGCAGTCCTTGTGAGGCTTCAGGCCCCGCCCCAGGCCAGATGGGAAGTGGCAAGAAGGAGCAGGGCCCTCAGGCACTCACCACAGGGGACTATAGCACTTCCAGATGAGAAATTATTAAAGGCTGGCCCCTTTACAAGTCTGTTACGTTTCCGTCTAAGAAAACACAATTTGCACACAAGCAAATAAACTGTTTCATTATAAAACTAAAGGATTGATGTGAACCAGATAAACTCCAAGTTAGACTGCTGAGGAAACAAACTTGCAGCTAAGTCTCAACACAGGTTAACCTCCTAGACCAAATCAGTAAATCACTCTGGATCCGCATCTTCCATGGTGGGAGTGGGAGAGGAAAGATTTACTTGATACAATTTTAAGGATAAGTAGCTCATGCCATACAGTCTGCCACCTTTCACTGTTAGAACAATTAGACAAATACAGAACTCAAAACTATCATCTGAAAACAAGCAAAGCAATACACTACTACCAGTTTTTATTACTCTTTTAAAATGCAAGCAATTCAGGGAAACTATAAACTGCATAATCTTCCAATATACTTTTTGGCAACGTTAGTTCTGCAGCAATGCTACCCTATGTCTATTTAAAAGCAGATCCCATTGAGTTCAGTGGGGTTTCCTTCCAGTAAAGTGGAAAGGATTGCAGTCTAAGAGAGAGTCGAATTTTCCAAGTAGGAAAGTGGGGGACCTGGAGAGAAAAAATAAAACAAAGACCTAAAAGAACATAGAACTATATGTGTGAATGTTTTCACACTATTTATCTACCCTCAAAGCATGGCTGTAACCTTATCCATTTTGCTCCTGCTACATTCCAGCATCTACCATGATCAATACCACATTTTATTGGAATATAAGTTTTTCCCCCACTCACAATTTCCACATTTGTAAGCAATATCATTTATCAAGCTTATGACTGCTTCAAAAACAGTTTCAGCAAAAGTTCTAAAGATGGATCACATTTGTAGTATACTAGCATTGCAAGAGGCAGGTAAAAGCAACATAATTAATAACAGCAATTATTTTTAAGCTTTTTCTTTAAAACCGGGCTTGAACAATCTTTGTGTTTCGGTAGGGAAGCAATAAATACAATTTTGGCAAACATCAGGAATAGTTTTGGGTTGCCAGTATGCTTTTAAATGCATTCTGAGGATCTATCCTTCCTTCCATTTGAGGACTATTTTCAGTTTGTTAGATGGAGAGATGGTTCAAAGGCAATAGTTTTGCTGCCTGACCCTGTGCCTGTTTTTGAAATATCTTTCTGCTTTTGAAATATTGGGGACCACTTATCCAACGACGAGTGAGATTTAAAGCAATATCTTCCATTCTAAATTGAGACAGTCCTGTCACAAGGCTATTCTCTCTCTTTCTCCCCTCCCACCACCCCACCCCCACAACCCAATAGCAGGAAATCAGTGCTGTTACTCTATGGGGGAAAATTCAGATGAGACCTAACAGAAGCAACATTCAGGGTTGGTTTTTATCCACTTTGCATGCTACTGGCAAGCCAAAGATTAGATAATGAAAGTCCCAAAAGATTAGCTTCATAAGGAAAGGAGAAGTATTTGCAGTTCTTCTTCCTAACATGCATGACTATGAAATGAAAGGCATGCTACAACTGTCCATGGCACTCCACAACTTCAAATGTGGTGCCTGGCACAATTGCCCATGCAGGGGGGGCAGCTGGGAACACATGCCCTGGGCCTCAGAGGCCTAAGCTGGCCAGGAGGTTTTGGCAGGAAGTGGCTGCTTTTTGGTATGAGGTTCATACCTTTATTCTAACAAGACTTCTGCCCGGGGCCTCAGACAAGCTCTGCACGAGCTTGATTGCTGTTCCTCTTTCTGAGCAGTTGGATTATGGCTAGCACCTTTTACAAATTTGTGTAATAAAACTTAAAGGGGAATGGGAAATGATTTAGCTTCCAAAGGTCGGAGAGTAGAAATGCAAACCACTATTAGTAGCAGTATTCTTATTATTGTTTTTATGTGTGTAATGGGTGTTCACTAAACATAAGAAATCATACTGGACTGGACTAGACTGGTATCATTGGTAAGCAGTTTTCACAGGCAAGAACCCACCTTCAAGCAGGCAGCCTTACAGAAGGGCCATAGCTCAGTGGTAGAATATTTACTTTGCATGCAGAAGGTTCCAGGTACAATCCCCGGAATCTCCAGGTAGGACTGGGAAAGATTCCTTCCTGAAACGCTGGACAGCTGCTGCCTGTCAGTGTAGACAGTGTTGAGCTAGATGGCCATTGGTCTGACTTTATATAAAGCAGCTTCCTATACTGCTAGTCACAGTAAGCAGTATCCTCATTGTTCTTCCACCATATTTTATGTGCAATTGCTTCTAATGCATTTATTCATTGAGAACTGCAAAATTGAAACGAAATACAGTGGTACCTCAAGGTTAGCGGAGTCTGTAACCTGCAGCGTATGTAACCTGAAGCGTATGTAACCCAAGGTACCACTGTATACTATCTCCTCCATTATGCGCATATAAGGGGATTTTATATCCCCCCCTTTACAGCATTGGTTATTCTGCCAATATAATTTAGAAGATTTAGCAGATTGAGATTCTGTAGCCCATCTTAACTTTCCATTCCCGATTATCAAAGTGACCCCAAACACATGCAAAATGAGCATTTGGTCAGCATACCTTTTATTTTTTGCCAAAAAGCAATGGAAAATATAAGCATCTCTCTCACTTATCTTCCTAATTTCCTGAGTATGATATATATTTCCCCACATTGAGTCACATGGCTGGGCAACCAGGGAATCTCAGTTTCAGGGGCCTGCTCTAGCCTGTCAAAAGAATCAAATTACAAGGAATGTTGATGTACTTCTACGCTAAGGAGAAATGGAGGGAAGAATGAATAGGTTTTGTAAGACTTTCATAGAGAGCACTTGCCCCAAACGTTGAAAAGAAGCCTTGCTGGCTCTTGTATCACCAGAAACAGAACTAAAATGTTTGATCCATTTTATATGCATGGATCCAAATATATTTTACTTAGGAAGTGCATATCTCATATTTTATTTAGATTGGAAAAAAACCTACAGCACATGTAGCTAATTTTGTGCATTAACAGCCTGATGTCCTGAAAGACAAATCCGGTATTTAAAGCAATGTCAGAACAGGAAAGGATAGAAATAAAAAAAGAATTAATCATAAAGATATAATACATGTTAAGAAATGTCTCTTGCTGGGAAATACAAAAAAATTCAAGGAATGAAAGGGTGCAAGCCAAATGAGGCATGTTGGAGCATCCTGTCATTAACCCATCTTACATATAACAACTTCAATATACGTTCTCCTCAAATGCAGAATACTATTTATTTAGCTGCTATTGTCTCAGTTTAATACATACTGGTAAGTATGGAACATCAATCTTTCAAATAGGTCAAACAATATTATAATGAACTAGGCACAGTTGATAGGCAAGTTCTAGTGAAAGTAGGGATGCGGGTGGTGCTGTGGTCTAAACCACTGAGCCTCTTGGGCTTGCTGATCAGAAGGTCAGCGGTTCGAATCCCCATGACAGGGTGAGCTCCCGTTGCTCTGTCCCATCTCCTGACAACCTAGCAGTTTGAAAGCACACCAGCTGCAAGTAGTTTGCAAGATACTTCAAAGACAAACTTGTTCTGCATTCTAGCAACTTCTCGTGACCAATTCAGTCAGGTTGTGCAGTGCTACATCTGGCCCAGTATTATGGGATCAAGTTCCATTGATGAAGCCTGCTAACATAGACAGGATACTTGCAGTAATGTGTCCAACCACATACCCCGCTGGCTGGTTAAAGGTAGCCAGAGTAGGATGACTGGGTGGGTCCTGGATGACGTGGTGCCCACCACAAATAAAGAAACAGTGGTACACCAGCTCCTTAAAAAGCCCACCCTGGATCCAATGGTGTGTATTAACTGCTGACTAATACCCATTTTAGTGGGGGAGGTGGGGGTGTCATAGACTGTGGTCCATGAACTTCATTTAGATGATCCGCAACATGTGTATAAAGGACACTTAGATATTGAATTCTATGGAATTCAAACTGTAATACAATAAAACAATAATAAATAAATAAAGCAATAAAATACAATTAAAAGTCATACAGCATCTACCACAGTGCATTGCAATGGCTGCAGCAAGCTGAAAAATCGTAAAAAGGTCCATCAAGACAATCAGCAATTTTCAAGTGGTCTATAGGAGAAGGAAGTTTTGGAAACACTGGCGCAGGTCTTTCTGGTGCCATCTTAACAGAAGAGAAGGCAAACAGCAGCAATCTACCCTGCAGCCAAGCAACAGGTGATTGGGTTTGATTTTGCTTTGCTTTTTAGATTTTCCCAGCACTGGCAAAACAGGAAGCCACTCTCAAAAATGGGAGGGGTGGATTCTGGTTGAGGGAAGCATCATGTGAATGATGTCCAGAAATTCTTGACTCAAAACTCATAGTAAAGCCCAGTGTGAACAAGCCCCTATTTTATATTCTGCTGATCCATGACCTAGTAAGTGGAAGGCTGGAGGGAGATTTGAATTAGGAATGTGCCAGGTTGCACCACACACTCTTAGCAAATATGCCAAACCATGCAGATAGCAATAGTAAGTATAGCTTTAAAATCAAATACAGCATGAAAAAGTCCCATAACAATATCATAGACGGAGGAGGAGGGGGGAGAGTAGCCTTGCTACTTAATAAATAGGGTCTTTTGTCTTTAGGATGGAAATGTTAGAGACCCGTTGCTAAAGCACAGTTCCATGCACACTTGTTAGCAATTGACGTGTTCCCAACTAGCAATTTGCAATCAATTGTTGCTTAATGGTGATGGAACAAAAAGGGGGGGGAGAATTTGAAAAGTGTGTATATATTTTCTTGCTCTCCTATACCCAAATACCTTGAGTTTTTCCATGCCAATGGCATTTGGCAATTATAATCACACAGTAAAATACCTAAGGTTAATGAGTAACCTCAAAAGGAAGTTACTTCACATAATGACAGCAATTTCTCTGAACTAAATGTTAATAATAAGGCCTGTAATACGGTAAGAAGGAAATGGTGGCAACTGGTAAATGGAACCCCGTTGCCTGGTAACAAGTCCTTAAGGTATGAGCTTTTTCTCTTCTTTCTTTATCTCTCTCTCTCTCTCTTTAAAAGCAGCAGGAAAACATTTCCAGCCTGAGCTGATTGTGGAAGGTACACATTTTATAACTCTGGCAAAGTTCTCCTAAGCAGGAAAACAGTAGGAATGGCCTTCGTTTTATTAACAACCAGCCACAGACACTAAAAAAAAATTTAGTTAACAGTACAGTTTAAAGGCCCGCCTTAGTGTGTGATAATCAGTTTAAAAAAGACAAAGAAAAATAATAATTAGATTGCAAAAGTCATTTGAAGCCACTCTTCATGCAGAACTTTTGTGTTAAAAGCATTAAATAACCATGCAAAGATGCAAAGGGCTGGATTGCACCCTTTTCAGAGAGACAACCAAAGGGTTGTGCAACCACCTGCGTGTCAGTAAAATTTCAGGAGGCTGTCTCACTTGAGTCAGACAAACAATGCCCTCCAGCCACGAGAAGCATGTGCTAAACAAGAAGCCACACTTTCCCCAAACTGAGTGCTTTTTAACCCTGCCAGCTGCTTAGTAGTGGCAAAGTGTTTGGGGTTTCAGGTGATACTGGGTGCTTCCAGATGTGTGGGATCTGTGCTCCTGAATCATTCCATTATTTTGCAGCGTCTCCATGATGTCATTGGCATCAAGACACCAGCCCATTCCACCACTTCCCTCTGCCCATTTCTGGGGTACGGGGGGGGGGGGGTGAATCTGAGAAGTAAAAAAATCAAAAACAAAAACCACCTGCTGGCAATAACCCATTCACAGTATGTTACCAATCAATTCACAGGTTTAGTTCTGTCTGGAAGTGACCTAGTCTGAAACCTTATGCAGTGGTACCTCAGGTTACATACGCTTCAGGTTACATACGCTTCAGGTTACACACTCCACTAACCTAGAAATAGTGCTTCAGGTTAAGAACTTTGCTTCAGGATAAGAACAGAAATCGGGCTCCGGAGGCGCGGCGGCAGCAGGAGGCCCCATTAGCTAAAGTGGTGCTTCAGGTTAAGAACAGTTTCGGGTTAAGTACGGACCTCCGGAACGAAATAAGTACTTAACCCAAGGTACCACTGTACTAAGGCTTCACATTCTAGGGTTTGTTTTTTCCTTCTATCACATCCTACTACATTGCCCTGAGTTAGAAGATCTGGCATTCATGGAAAGACAGTGGGTTGCCCATGCAGAAGTCCAGCTCTTGGGAAATGGGCCAATGTGTTTCAGTGCCTGGTATCAGGGTGATGGGAGAAAGGTGAGACTAATAGAAGGCATATATTGCTTGTTTATACCCTAAAGACACAAGCCAGTCAATTCATACTGCAGAAAGAGCTACAAGGGTGTCACATGACAGCAACTGTCCATTCATGCCTCTTCCTCCAAATAATCCTTAGAAAGGGACAAGCAAGACAGAATGCAGATAGCCATCTAGTGTACCAAACATCTGCTACTCAGAGCTATACTGCCTCTGAGCATATGGCTACTGATTGGCCTAACCTGCATAAGCATAGGCCAAGCACTGAGCTACATTTTGAAAAGTCACATGATGGTATCCTTCCTAGTTAAAACCAAAAGTGGGGGAGGGAAAACTTTTTTTAACACCTCCCGTGTAAAAACAAAATTTCCCTGCATGTAGAAAACCAGCACACCAGGGAAGAGGACTGTGTGAAGTAAGCCTTAGTGAGAGGTGGCGATAAGCCCCACTGAAGACAGTAGGTTGGACTTACTTCTGAGTAGATGTACATACAATTGCAGTGTTAGCATATGTGGAGTCTGTGCAGAATCTACTGTCAGTCATTTAATTGGATGGCCCTGGTTTCTATTTCTTAGAGTGAGCAATTATTGCCATTCATTGTCTCCTCACTGTTGCTGTTGTTTTATTTTATTTATGAATTGCTTCCCATGAGGCATTCTGACTTACAAAATAAGAAGAAAACTGCTAGATATGTTTTTAAAAAGTTAAAATAACTGCTTATATAAAACATTGAAAAAAATTATATACACACATACATATATATACGCACACAGTTTAAAACAAGAATAGCACATATACGTTCAAATCCAATACAGATACAGTGGT